CCGTCACGGGGCGTCCTGCGGCCGCCCTGCGGGGATCTGGAGACGGCCGGTGGGCCGACCTCGTGCCAGGGTGGAGCCGTCCTGGGCGGATCCTGGGCCGTCCCGAGATCGGCGGGGCGGGGGCCCAAGGACGCTGGGGCGTCCGGGGCGGTGGAGTTCAAGGGGCGCTGGGCTCTCAGGCCCGTGGGCACACAGAGATCGGAAGGGTTCACGTTTTGCTCCAGCGGGGTCCCTTGGAAGTCCCGACCCTTTCCCCAGGACCAGCTTTCTCATCCCGAGTCGTTTTTGGACGGTCCTGGGGCCCAGCGAAGGCCCCCATAGGCCGGAAACGGAGAAAAAAGAAATCCGCGTTGAATTATTCAATACGTTGGATCTCTTGGCACACAGGTCTTCTGCCGAGGGAGGGTTCCCGGGCATTGGACCCAGCCGCTCCTAGAGGCTTGGGCCCTGGATTCGCGGGGCAGCCCAGGCAGAGCCGACGGACCCGCATCGGACACCTCTCCTCGGGGCTTCGCCTCTGGCCTAGAGCCTGCAGCTGGTGAACGGACGCGTGCTGGTCTCGGCGCGGCGAGCGGGCGGGGGTCGTCATGGCTTCGCAGGTGCCACTGGGGATAGGAGAGGTGAGGAGACCAAGAGGCCAGGCAAGGCTCTGCTCCCCCGTGAGGCCGTATGGCAGTGCCTACACGGCTTCCGCTTGCGTCCCCTCAGTCTCTTCCTCGTCCTCCTCATCCTCCTCTTCCTCCGCCGCCGCCCGGTGCTTGCAATAGGAGCGGCGGGCTTACCCGTGCGGGAGCTGTACGCACGCTGGCACGACAGCATTATGAGGTGGTTTCTGACACGCGGCTCAGTACAGCGTGCCAGATCTGACCACACGTTTGCTCATCCACCTCCCCTTCCTACCCGAGTGACTAGGGCTATTGCTGGTTGTGCCCGAGTCCGGGCCGAACGGCGATCTTGCGTTGTCCCTGCTTTTTCGGTGTCCCGTATGTTTCCCTGCGCCTGGACAGGACGCAGAGAATTGGCACGATAACGCTATGTAGGGCGTTCGGCCCCCGCCTTCTGTCTGTAGAGCATACCACCCCTGCGTCGTGTTTATCGGACCCCTGTCGTTGATCCGTTTACTGCGTCGAGCTGGTGGGAACTGTTGTCTCGAAAGGAGTAGAAATTGAAGAAACAAGTCATAACAAAAGAATAGCCAGGGGCCCGACACCCGCCAGCCGCGGAAAAGTGCAGCGGCGGACGGCCAGCTATCAGAGATGTTGATTCTGGGCGAGTGTCTGGGCCTCTGGCAGAAACTCAGCTGATTGAGGCCATGGGCAAGAGGGTGGGACAGTTAGCCATCCTTGCGGTGTTCGCCGGGCGAGGGCTCGATTTCTTTTAGATTGTCGTACGATACGCCGCATGGTTGATTCTTCGCTAAAGCATGTACATCAGGAGAGGGCCAGGAAGGACCGGCCAGCCTCGCTGCAAAAGTGCAACACCAGCATAAGCATCCAGAAGGAACCACTGTGGCTCAAGTCGCCGCCCTGGCTCGGTCTCCAGAGGATGGCTCGGCGCGGGCCATGGAGCCCGCAGAGGCCACAAGCGCCACCCTCACGGACCTTGCAGCGGCATCGAAATGTTCGAGAGGCCACGTTCCTTGCGGGCCCAAGTCTGGCGTCCCAGAGCTCGACGGGATGGCGATCTTCGCGATGCAGCGCAGCACAGGGCAGCCTGTCGACGTCCACATCGGCCAGTTGGACTTGCCAGGTGGATGCGCTCCTCCAAGCCAGGGGGAGTGACCCGACCTCCTGGACACCGGCCAGTCTGAGGCCGGCGCTGCACCCCAGCTCGACGCCTCGCGCGCAGCGCCGCCGAAGCCACACGCGGAAGAGGTCGGGGAGCGGGCGCGCGCCGAGGGCGCCTTGGGGCCCGAGACTGTCGAGATCCTGGCGCAGAAGATCAGGCGATCGCAAACATGTATGAAGGGGGCGTGGATTAGCGACGGGTCCCGCTTCAACGGGAAATCGCGGATCTCCGCCGCCGCACGAGGCGGCACCGGCCGCATTTTGGGGGAGGGCACCTCCCCCGATCCACGGATTTGGCGACCGCGCGCCAAATCCATTGATCGCTAATCCATGCTTGCCGGCCCCCGAGCATCGACGGGAGCTTCCAGGGCTCGAGAGGTGCATGCCGCCTGCATGCCACAGGCCCCCGAGGCGCGGTCCAGCAGCAGCGACGTTGTGGACAGGCGATCGACGAGCTGGCCGACGGGCCGCGGCCGGGACTCCAGCCTGGGGGCTGAGCTCAGCGACCGCCAGACTCGGGCCGAACGAAAAGGGGGGATAGGGAAAGGGGGAGGGTACGAAATCTGCTGCATGCAGCTGGTTTCGGCCCTGTCGCTGGGCCTATTCCTCGATACATGGGCGCCTGGCGCCGGGAAAGTCAGCTATATACGTGAGCTGATTCTCAAACCCCCTTTGTGCTATCCCCTCCTTTCGCCCAGCCCAACAGGCGCCTGTCGACAGCCTGAGCTCTGGTCGCCAGGCCAGCAGCAGCAGCGAGCTGTGCGCGCCGCCCGCTGGGCAGGCCGGCGGGGGCGCCGCGTCGCAGTCCTGGGGGACGGGGCAGTTTGCCTTCCGCGAGCGCGGCAGGTGGGGCCACCTCACACCAGGGAGCCTCCAGCCTTACAGCTTCGGCCTCCACCGCACCCGCAGCGCCGCCGCCGCCGCTGCTCTTCGAGGTCCCCCCGACGGCCGTGCTCGCGCGGCAGCAGAGCGCGGCCTATGCACTGGCTGTTGCAGACGGTGCCAGCGACGATCCACGGCGACCAGCCAGCGCCCAAGACACTGCACAGCAACTGCGGATAACAGACGGAGGGCCCTAGAAGCACAGCGCCACGTGGTGGTCGGAGCATTTCGCGCCCGACTGCGAGTACGAGGACCTCTGGCACCCAGAGTCTCACCGTGGGCACGCCGCGTTGCAGGCGCCGCTTCTGTCGTTGATGCTGCCCGGGGGCACTTGGCGCGTGGTGACTTATATCTCTGAAGGGGGTCCTTGTGCGGCTTTACATGGCACGTCGAGGAGGATGGCGCGGGGATCCCGCAGCGCGGCGTGACATACCTGTGCGTGGACAGGCGAGGCAAGGTGACCTACCTGCGGAAGGGCTGCAGGCCCCCCTTCTGCAGGTGTCGATACCCCGCGCCGTGGAGCGCAGCACGTCACAGAACCTGGCGGTGCGCCAGGCCGCGCTGCAAGAGCTGAGGGGCTTCGCCTCCAGGGCGCCAGCGCCGGCAGGGTGGCCCGAGCCCGCGCGGGGGAGCCCTTTCGAGGCGGCCGCGGTCGAGAGCCGCCCGGGAGGCGCTGGCTGCCTGCGGGGGCGGCGCCGCGGTGGCCATGCTCGCGCTGGTGGTGGTGGAGCGCCTGCTGCCGCTGCCGATGCTGCTGGTGCTGCCGCTGCCAGTGCTGCTGCTCCTGTTTGATGTTTTGCCGCAGGCCGTAGGGTCGATCCTTCTCTCTCCTCTTCCTCCAGCACCTCCTCCAGCCCGCTCCTGCGCCTACTCCCCGTCCTACACCTACTCGTCCTCCTCCCCAGCCTACTTCCCTACCTCTCCCCTGTCCCCCTTCATTTATTATTCGCCATTCTCCCATCACTCCCTCCTCCAACTCCCCCATCATCGTTCCTTATCAAGCACTCCACGTCGTACCACCAGGCGTGTGGACAGGGCGGACCCGATGTTTCGTTTGAGTTTTCCCCGCCATCTCTCACGCTTACACGATTGGAGGGAAGCGTTCGTTTCACCATGCGGGTCTCGCTTGCACGCCACGAACATGCATCTTACTATTCATCAGCTGCTGCACGGATGGTGAGCGGGCCGTTGTCAGGGTGTGGCCCTCGATTGCGCGCCGCACGCACTCGTCCCAAGCGTTTCCGAGGAAGTTTCGCGGACGGACAGTGGCTCCTTTTCAGATGAATGTCTCTTTTGAGACTTGCTCAGATCCTGCCCCCTGAAATTCGATGTTGCGAAACAGCTACACGGATGGAGAGCGGCTCCGTCTCAAATCGGATTTCCGTTGACGGCTTCTATAATGGGTACAGCCATGAAGGTAAAATTTTGCAGCAGCCACATTAGAGGAGGCCGGTCCTTTCTGTCAAACAGTGGCTCTGTTCGGACGGCTCTTAAGATTTAGGAGGCTTGTTCTCGGCACTACTTGGGGCTAAATCGAAGGAAGTTGGGCTCCTCCCTGCATGGCGAGCCACTAGTGCAATGCGCTCGTCGTTCGAGAGGGCGCTTCCCGTAGTGACAGGAACGGTTGTATGGATATTTGGAACGGTAGCTCGGGATGGGAGGCTGTATTGAAGCATCTTTGATGCGTCCAGGGTTTACGTTGGCCTTCCTCCCCCTTTCTCGGCCTCCTCTTCCCCATCCTCGTCCTCCTCCCAATCCGCCGCATATGCTGCACATTACTCTTCACCACCCCTGTGCTGGCGGTGACCGTTGACGGGACAGGCAGGCGAGTTACGAGAAAGGCCACACTTCCATGGTATTCGCAAAGGTAAGCGCATTCAGGAGATTCCGTTGCCCGTCCTCGCCATCCTCCTTCGTGGACGCACGACGGGCTTTGCCAATTTCTTTTGTGCCGCACGTGTTCGGCTGCATGCTTTTAGAGTTTGGATCAGAGTCTCATGATTGTCCCACCGTGATGCGTCGACGAGGTGTTGGCCGCTCCGCTGTCCACCCCATCCTCCAAAAGGTGTGCTGAAAAGTGCTACACGCAATCACCCAAGCCGTCTACGTCTTAACGCCTCCTTATCCTCCTCGTCCTCCTACTCCGCCTCCGCATCCCCCTCTCCCTCGACCTATGCCTAGTCTCTCTCTCATCCTTGTTTGTCTCTCTCTCTCTCTCTCTCTTTCTCTCTCTCTCTCTCTCTCTCTCTCTCTCTCTCTCTCTCTCTCTCTCTACATATCGCTCTATCTCTCTATGTATGTATATACATATCCATATGTATATACATAGATGTATGTATATATGTATACACGTGTATGTGAATGATACACATATAGTATGGAGATGCGCATGCTTGGTTGTGTGCATGTATTTATACATAGCTGTGCCTGTGCACGATACATATAAGCATGTATATGTACATCGGTGTATAGATAAATACGTGTATCCACTGCCGATATATGTATGTATGGAGTCCGCTCTCTCCCACGTGCAGTATCGCTCGCTTTCTCTCTGTCGATCTCTTTCTCTCTCTCTCTCTCTCTCTCTCTCTCTCTCAAAACAGATACAGGTGTGTGTATCGATGTGCGTATACGTACGTGTGCATTGTATTAACAGATGTGTGTATATGCAGATTCGCCCAATCATATATACATCTGTATGCGTGGATATATATATATACACATACACACATATATACATTATATATACATCACCTTTCACTCACCGTTATCATTCCCCGACTCCGCTTCCTCTCCCTCCTCGCACACGTCTTCGTTGCCCCAGTCAGCATTATCATCCTCATGTGCGTTCTCCTCCTCCTCCTCCCCATCGACCTGCCTTCCATCCGTTCTTCATCCGCCTCCTCATCCCCTTCCGCCTCCACCGACCCCCTCTCTTCATCCTTCTCGTCCTCCCTCCTCCCTCATCCCCACCCTCCTCATCCTTCCCCTTTTCATCATGATCCTAATCCTGGTGTTCCCCCCTCTGCTCCTCCGCATCCTCTTACCACTTCCTTCCATCATCCTCCTTACCCTCCTCCACCTCCTCATTACCATCCTCCTCCTCCTCCTCTTCCTCCTCCTCCTCCTCCTTACCATCCTCCTCCTTATTAGTACCCTCTTCCTCCTCCTCCTCCTCCTCCTCCTCTTCCTCCTCCTCCTCCCCCTCCGCCCCTTCATCCTCCTCATCCTCATCCTCTTCCTCCTCCTCCTCAAACCATGGCCTTCTGCTGCAGCGACAGCTGCATGCAGATCGCGCATTTCCGCGGTGCGGCGGTGCTATGTGGCACGTCAGCCCAATGGGACCTTCGGGTGTACTCCCGGGCGGCGACCCCCAGCTTGAAAGCTTCGTGCTTCTTGTGGGACCCCGTTTGCGCGTGCCCGTCAGCAGGTTCGCCTTAATGGCCTTGCAGCTCTTTGAGCAAACGGCAGAAAAAACATTACAGGTGAACTAGCCCAGTTGTGCAGCCCCCTGTTGGCGACTGGTCAGCGGGGCCCCAACGGGTGAACCATGGCTGTGCGGGGTGTGGTCGGCGGGGCGTCGAGTCGTCTCGTGCCTGACGAAACTCCTCTGAGTCTAAGCTTCTCGTCTCGTGGCATTGCCAGGGCGGCCTGCACTAGGAAACAGGAAACAATATTCATATGCTCCTCCTCATCTTCCTCCTCCTCCTCCTTCTCCTCCTCCTCCGTAGCCATTTGGGCTCAAGATGCGTTGTTCCAAAGAGGAGTACGTGGATACCGTTGTGACCGCGGCCAGACAACAAGAGAGTTTGTTTGTGCGCTCCTGGAGGAGCGACAGCCCGTTCCCGTCCACGGCTGCAGCCACTCTTCGAGTGCCGTGGCGCCGCTGTCAAAGAAATGGGCATGGTCGCGTCGCGGGAGCTGCAACAACTGGGCGTATGACTGGAAGATCAAACGCAATGGAGGACGCCGCGCGAAGTGTGACTCGGTCGTCACGCCCTGGGCCGACAATGGCAACAATGGCACAGCAGACGTTCCTTCAGGTCCTCCATGGGCCAACAAGACCAAGGGCACCAACGCGGAAGTGGTGCGCAAGCAGCTGGCCGCCGCGCTGGCGAAGCTCGGCCCCGATCAGAACATGCAGGCCCAGCTCGAGGGCCCCCAGTCGGTGATCTCCCAGAAGTGCGCTCCGAAGCAGAAGGAAGTACCCAAGCCGGCACTGCTCAAGCAGGAGATCGGCAAGGTCAACACGGCCAAGTCCAAGCTCGAGTCGATCGCCAAGCGCCACGTGGACGTTGAGAATGCAGTGGCCAAGTTACAAGAGCAGATGGAGCAGGCAGCGGCTGAGGTGTTCGAGGCGCAGCAGGAGCATTCGAAGGCCCTGGAGGAGTACAACACGCAGTCGCTTGCGGATGGCATATCGCAGCAGCATCAGGAGGACAACGCGCTGGCGACTACCACATACGATGAGATGAGGGAGACGATGAACAACCAGGGCACGAGAGATCCTTTTAGAGGATTTGCGGCCATGCACCTCCACCTTCGCTAAGGCAACATCGTACTCTTCCCCCTCTACCTCCTTCCCAAGGAGGGTATGCAAGGCAGCAACTTCGAGAAGATGAAGGCTCTCCCCACGGTGGTTCGCAGCATTAGAGATCCATGGAATATCATGGCAAATTGGAATCTCTCACCGGCTGCGGTCAGCAAATCAGGGCTCCCGAAGAGACTTGGAGGCCGCGTCATCACACCGAACGTGCAGGTCACAAGTGCCAAAGGGAAAGGCAGGCTCATCGACTTCGCGATGGCACGGGAGGACATAGCGGATGGCATCACCATCGAGGCGGAGGCGAAGGTACCCTGGAGGACGCATACGGGGCCCCTGCGCATGCTCCCAGGGAGGGCGGATGCCTGGTGGCATAGGCACCTCGACCAGCCCCGACCGCTCCCCTTGGTGCTACCGCCGAAGAAAGAAGTAGACCCGACAGCAAGCGCAGCAAGAAGAAAGAGGCAGCACGACGGAAACGAAGGGCGGCACGACCAGAGCACCTCCAGGAGGAGCTCAACGTGATGGAGCCGATGCCCACGCAGACCAAGCAGCAGCAGGTGCAGTACGCGATCGACCAGCACCAGTGGCAGGAGGCGCTCACCAAGGCGGTGGCCCCCAACCTCACGCAGCAGACGCACGAGTTAGAGCCGCACCTGCTCATCCGCGGTGAACATCAGAAGCTGATGGAGCAGGCGATCTCAGACAAGTATGCGGTCTGGGTCACTGCGTTAGTGGAGGCGATCATCGGTGTTGACAGGATGGAGGCGCACGAGGCGGACGCTCATCGTTGCAGAGGAGGCGGACTTGCGGTGCGATGGAGAAGGTCTAAAGCGACACCAGGACGCACGCACGCGAAGTACCAGGCGGCGGAACTATCGTCTATCACGGGGACGCTCATCACCAGGTATGAGGCCTTGAGGATCAAGGAGACAAATAGGGCCCAGCAGCAGAAATGTGCCAGAGATTGGTCGACGACATACCAGCAGCTAAGGCGAATGTGGCTAGACCAGATCCTTGGCAAGAAGTTCGACCACAAGAGGCCGACGAGAGAATGCTGAAGGCGCAGGAGGTGAAAGCGCACACCATAGAGGAGTTGGCCACGCTCAAACATGAAAGCAAGGACCACTTGGCCAAAGCAGTGACGATAGGCATCACCAACCAGCGGCAGCAGTTCACTAAGTGGGCCTAGCAGTTGTGGAACCAGCCGCCAGGCATCCTGCACAGACATGTCAAGGAGCCAGTCAAGCCAGTCCTCGAGCAGTTCCACAACGGCGCCAGCTCGGCGGATCCAGACATCCCCACGCACACGAAGAAGCAAAGGTGGCACAAGATCTGGACAGACGCGGTTGACAGCAGAGACGACATTGCGGCAGAGCGCATCATCACACATAGACAAGCACGCGCTGAAGACCTGGACCCGATCACGATTGAGGAGTTCGACGCGGCGGCGGCGGCGACGAACCCCAACAAAGCTGAAGGTGAGGACGGGCTTAAGTTGCACGATATCAAGTGGCCCCCCCTCGGTGCTAGGCAGAAGCTGGTGAACCTCATCAACATGTGCGAGGGGGCAGGCACGTGGCCTAGGCAGTGGACGGCAATTATGGGGACCGTCGTTCCCAAACCAGCAAGTGGAGAACGCGTTCTCGGCATGCTACCCTTGCCAGTAAGGATATGGAGTCGAGCTCGAGCGCCCCCCTGCAGTGAATGGAGCGAGGCGCTCAGCGCGCATTGGGACACGGCGCACAAAGGAAGCTCGGCGTTGCGAGTAGGACTATTTCGAGCATGCTTGGACGAGGCAGGGTACGCGCCCGGCATCACCAGCCTGACGCTGCTAGAGAACATCGAGAAGTTCTGCGACAGTGCAAGCCTGGTGCTGCCCATGAGGATTGCGAGAGATGTGGGCTACCCTGCGGCGGTGGTCGGGATGGAGGTCCTCACGTTCGCGGCGCCTCGGCTCCTCAAGGACAAGGCGGCGATCAGTGAGGCGATCTGGGTGGCCCGCCCCATAGTAGCAGGATCGCCAAGAGGAGCCAGCCTCACGAAGGTATTCCTTCATCCAGTGCTCCAACGTGCATGCATTCCCTCACCGTCGGCGGGATTGTGGGCATTCGTCGACGACACAGTGGCCAGGGAGGAGGGCACGGAGTACGACACCCCAGATAAGGTGGCTAGGCTGGCGATTGGGCTGGCCAACGGTTTAAAGCAGCAGCGGCCCAAGATCTCTGACAGA